TCCTCCTCTGCTCCTCCTCCTCCTCCTCTGCTCCTCCTCTGCTCCTCCTCTGCTCCTCCTCCTCCTCCTCTGCTCCTCCTCCGACTGCTCATCCTCCGGTTCGTCTTCCTCCTTATCCTTGCTTTTCTTCTCCTCTTTGCACTCTTCCTTCTCTTCATCCTCCAATTTCATCCCTTGTCCTCCCTCTATTCTCCCTTCCTCCTCACCCTCATCCTGCTTGTGCTCCTCCTTCTTGAAGTCCTCCTTTGTGCCCTGCTCATCGTCTCTTTCCTTGTCCTCCTCTTGCCCTCCTCTTCTCAACCTCCTTATTATCATCCCCTCCTCCTCGCATTCCTTTTTATCCTCAACTTCCCGCCCCTACCATCCATCCTTCATGTCGGCTTCATTCTCCTCTGATGTACAACTGCGCAGCTAACGTCAAGGCAGATTCTGCCGATGAGCACGTGGGGTACTCCAGTGAACCGTTTCTTTGCCACTTTTTTTTCTAAGACTTGTATCAGTTACTTTTTCAGCGCATTTCTTCTATCAGTTGTTATATGCTGTTTCGAAATATTCCTATGAAGATAAATGTTTAACTAGTTTCTTCTCGTTTATAAATTATTCCAAGCAATTGTTAGCAAGCTATTGAACAATTGTCAGGAGTTGAAAATGCTTTCAAAATCGTATTAAAATGCATTGGAAATCGTATTAAAATGCATTTAGTAATTCTAAAACATTTTGTGAACATCGCTTAATTTCTATGAATACCATACAGTAACGAAAAAACGAGTTGTGATCTCAAAATCACAAATCATAAATACTGTCATGTATGATGTGTGGACTCGTATTTATCCCGGTGTATTGACATTAAATAATTTACCACCGTTTTATTACGCTACTGTACCACCATCATACTTCAAGTAGCACTCATTGAAACACAAACGTGCGTCATTGTAAAGCTTTTTTTTTTTTTTAATTTTGCAAACTCGTAATATCGATAGTAGAAGAATGTGTTTACACGTCTATACACGTAAATTCCAGATTATAGTGATATGAATGTAGTCACTCTCTCCCCAATTTGGCAAGAATATTTCAAATTTCTATAAATTTAAAAGTGCCTTATTTCTACTTCTACATTTTGTATCAGTTTTAGGTCCCTAGAAGAATGTTATTCTCGTGGGGTAGTTACTTTGAAGCTTTAAAAATCCAGTCATGTAACCGAATATTGAGGCATAAACGGGGTATGTACATTAGAAGATTGCACCTTGCAGATGAAACGTTTGTTGAACGATACAGAATGTTTTTTTTTAAGTATTTTCTTTCTTTAACCGAATTATTTGAATTAGGCACATATTTTAATGCTGTATACCTATATTGGGTCGCATTTTTTCTTTTCATCAGAGCAAAATTTTCTCTATGGCATTATCGCTCCTCACTCTATATTGTAGTTTGGTTTTGCGTGATATTGTGGTATGTTTCAATTTTATCATTGGCAGCTATTTTAATGCGAAGTATGTCTCCAA